TATGGCCCAGACACCCTTCCTAGTGATCCCAGTATGGCCCAGCAACCCTGCCCAGTGCTCCCAGAATGGCCCAATGACGCCTCCCAGTGCTCCCAGTATGGCCCAAGGACACCCAAAGTGACCCCCAGTGCTCCCAGTATGGCCCAGGGACACCCAAAACGATCCCGGTATGGCCCAGCGCCCCCTCCCAGCGCCTCCCCACGCCCCTCCCAGTGCTCCCAGTCTGACCAGTAAGGCCGCGGGCAGGCGATGCGCTGGGCCGAGGCCCTGCACACCAACAGGCAGTTGCAGGGGCACCGCACGTATTTCTTCCCGCCGGGGGCCGTGCGGATTGGCTGGGATTTCGGGGAGGGGGTGTGGCCTCAGGGCAGGGCCCTGCCCCCTAAAACTCCCACCGCCCGCTTTAGCCCCGCCCATTCCCAGAGAGGAGGTTCCGTCATAAGCCCCGCCCCCCTCAGGCCACGCCCATCCAGCCCAAGCACCTCCCCCTCCAAAACCCCACCCCTCCAGACCAGCCGTTGAGCCACACCCCTTTAGGCCCCGCCCCTTTAGGCCCCGCCCCTCTAGATCCTCTTTGTCCCACCCCCCTTAAGGTCCCACCCCTTTAGACCCCGCTTGGTCCCATCCCCTTTAGGCTCCGCCCCCACGCCCCTTCGAAGCCCCTCCCACACCAAACCACGCCCACTTCTCCCCCACACTTTGGCCCCTCCCCTTCCCTTCCTGCTCTGACCACGCCCCCCTTCCGACCCCGCCCCCTGCCCCCAAAACCCCACCACCAACTTTAGCCCCGCCCCTTATGCCCCGCCCCTTTAGACCCTCTTTATCCCACCCCCCTTAAGGCCCCGCCCCTTTAGACCCTGGTTGGTCCCACCCCCTTTAGGCTCCGCCCCCACACCCCCTCGAAGCCCCTCCCACAACAAACCACGCCCTCTTCCCCCCACACTTTAGCCCCTCCCCTTCCCCTTCCGGTTCTGACCACGCCCCCCTCCCCCTCCAGGCCCCGCCCCCTCACCGTGGCCTCCCCGCACCCCCCGCACTTCACCACGTGCTGGTGCGTCTTGCCCTCGACGCTGATGGGCCGCTGGCACACCCGGCACGTCACGGCGGGCGGACCCGACCCGCCGGCGCCTCCCGGTCCAGCCCCGCCGGCCCCGGGAGCCGCCCCTTCCTCGGGGCTGCCCAGCGGCGAGTAGGGTGGCGGGGCCTCCCCGCCAGCGCCTGGAAGGAAGAGAGAGGGAAGGAAAGAAGAGGAGGGGTCGCTTACAACACCCCGCCACCCCACCCCTTTCCCCGGAGCTCACCGGCGGCGGCCCCGCCCGGGCCCGGCCCCGCCTCGGGCGGCAGCAGCGGCGACCGCTCCCCGTCCGCCATGACAGCGCCGCGCCCCCCCCCGCGCTGGCTCGCCGGCGATTGGCCCGCCCCGCCCGCGTGACCGCGGGCACCGCCCCTTTCCCCGTCTTCTATTGGCTCCCCGGCGGAGTCACGTGACCCCCCGCCCTTTCGGCGTTGCCAGGCAACGCCCCGCACCGGGCCGTTTCCGGGTTCCGCCTTCGCGCGCTCCCATTGGCCCGGCGCGCCTCACGTGACGCCCCCCCCCTTTAGCGTTGCCGGGCGACTCCCCGCGTCGCCTTCCGGGTTCCACCTTCGCGCGCTCCCATTGGCCCCCGAGCTCGTCGCGTGGTTGGCCCCTCGCCGTTGCCGGGCAACTAACTCCCCGGCACCGACTTCCGGGTTTCTTCGCGTCCTCCCATTGGCCCCGCGCGCCTCACGTGACGCCCCCTCCCTTTAGCGTTGCCAGGCAACCGCCCGCACCCCCCCCCGCGCTTCTCTTCCGGGTTCCTCCTCCCGCTCCCATTCGCCCGCGCGCTGTCACGTGATTTCTCCCCACCCACCCACTCCCCCCTCTTTCCGCGTTCGTCCCGCCCCTCGCTTCGCGCCGATTGGCCGGCGCCCCCCCCCCCCGTTCCTCCCCCCGCTCCGATTGGTCGCCGCTCCCGCCACTCAACAACCCGCGGCGGTTCCCATGGCGACGCGGCGGCGACGGGGGGCCGCTGATTGGCCGAGCGGCGGCGGCGCCCGGGGGGGCGGAGTCTCCGCGCGCGGTGACGTCACGGATATATAAGCGGCCGGCGCAGGGGGCGGCGGCGCATTCGCTGCTCGATGGAGGGGAGGTGCGGGGGTCCCGGGGGGGCGTTAATAGGGGGCTTTGAGGAGGCAAATGTGCGGGTTCGGGGGGTGAATGTGGCGTTTTAGGGGGGTCTCGCATCCCTCCGGCCGCAAATCAGTGCGGGGGGACGTGATTTATGTTCTAATTATCCCCCCACCCAGACCCCCGGGGATGGAGGGGGGGGAGAAATAAGGACAGGTTGTGAGGGGGAGTTTTGTGGGAAGGGGCTCAAAGGGGCCTTGGGAGGTTTTGGGAGGGTCCGGGGGGTGTTTTGGGGGCGTGGAGGGGTCGGCCCCGAGTCCCAAAGTCCGTCTGGCCCCGGGCCCGGGCCTGGAGCGGCTCCTGGGCCGAGGGTCAAGGTCGGGGTTGGGGGGGAAAAATGTGGGGCCTGGGGGGGAATTGGGGTGGGTTTAGGGGTGGTTTGGGGGTGATTTTGGGGATGGTTTTGGGATGATGTTGGGGGTGATTCTGGGACTGATGTTGGGGGTGATTTTGGGATGGTTTGGGGAAGGTTTGGGGATGATTCTGGGACTGATGTTGGGGTGATTTTGGGATGATTTTGGGGGTTGTTTTGGGATGATTTTAGGGGTGATTTTGGG